GAGGGAGATGAAGTTGCGTGCGACGAGTGGCATCTAGTCCTGCCTTTGGTGCAGGGCGCGTTGAACCACCAGCCCTCGGACAGGCTCGGTGGAGTTGCCCCCGTCACGTCTTTTACGGGGCTCAGCGAATACGCCACTGGCCGGGTTGGTACACCCGGCCACCAAGGAAGTCATCTGCACGAACATGCTGGACGATGCCCGTGTCAAGCACATGGCGCAGCTCAAGATTGCCTTAGATCAGCTTCTCCGTGAAGTGTTTACCCGCAGCGACAAGCTGCGACAACAAGCGAGAGGACGGTGCGACAAGAATACGCGGGTCAAGTTTGCCAACTTTAGTGTGGGTGATTTTGTCCTAGTCGGCACCGTCGTTCAACGGCCTACGAAGCTTGCGCTGCAGTTGCGTGGGCCACAACAGGTCGTTCGCGTGGTCACGGATCACGTGATGGAGACGCAACAACTGCTTGCGACCTTCGATTTGTCCACGCACCATGCGTGTCGATTGAAGATGTACCACGAAGGCGGACGTGAGGTCACTGATGACCTCGTGGATCAGATCACCTTCGGCGATGGCGGTTTCCACGTTGAGCGCCTGGAAGTAGTGCGTGTTGCGGCAAACCGGCCGCTACAAAGTTCTAGTCAAGTGGCTCGGCTTGGATGCCAAGGAATCGTCCTGGGAGCCAGTCGACAACTTGCTTGAAGACATCCCGATAGTGCTGCGCAAGTGGTGCGCTGCTCACAAGGACGAAGATCATGTCGCGGACATGATGGCCCACCTAGATCTCCCTTAGAGGAGGGAAGTGTTCTGCGCTGCAGAGCAGTTGGGTCAATCGTTTGACCCACTGCAAACCACGGTAACAGTCTAGAGGTGGATGACCTAGTTGTGTAGTATTACTATAGACTGTAGTCAGTAGCCACGAAGTTCGTGGCTCCTCAGCCATCTGAAGCAATACAGTCTTGGATTTACCTTACGAGAAGGTAACTTTGCGGTCCGAAGCCGTGAAGGACGAACAGTCGCGTCGTGGTCAATGTGTTTGTGTTTGCATCGGCACCGGAGCACCCACGCGCCTTCGGCAACAATGTAGAAGAACGACCGGCACGGACAC